TAGATACGTATATAAATGTATACAGATAATGTGAATATGGATATATACACATAGGTAATGCAGGTATAGTTTATGCGACTGTTCTATCTCCTCGGCATATTTAAAAATAAATCCGGCGAAGCTTTGTTGGTTTTTTGGTTTTGTTTGGTGGTGGGGGTTTTTTTGTTGTTTGTTGGTTTTTTTTTTTTCCTCGTCCCATTTAGCCCCCGATGATTGCCACGTGGGTAAGTAGCCGTACTGCGGGTTTGAGCTCCCGCCTGCCGAGCCCGGCCCGTACACCACCCACGGAGCAGGTCGGAGCCTCAGCCCTGGCTCTGCGGTACTGGGGGAGAAGGATGTGCGAAAAAGTCCCGGCGGGGCGGGCGGGGGCTCCCGGGACTGGCCCCGGGCACAGCCACCGGCTCGACGGGGCCTCCCCGCGCCCTCCGCCCCCTCGGGAGCACTGACCCCGATTCTCCTGCGAAAACACCTGTTAAGCTTTAAAGTTATGCGACCGCCTTTCCACCATGGGGAAAACAAACCACGGCGCGCTTCAGGCTGGCGGAGGGAAAGTATACAAAAAAGAGAAGGCCTTTTATTGGAAGAAACCCCACCGGCAGGCGAGGCACTGCTTACGCGAACTGCCCCCCCAGCCTTCTGCACCTCGCCGCGGAATGCCGAGGAGAGCCCCGCCATCGCGGCCCGCGGCGCATTTTCCGTGCCAGACCGCGCGCAACAGCAGCTCGCACTCTGCGGCATGGCCACAACTGCGATTGTAACAATAACACCAAACTGCGATTGTAACAATAACACCACCGATAATTACAATAGCAATAACAACAGCAGTAATAGCAGCAAAAATAGTACTAGTAATAGCAGTACTAGTAGAAAGAACAAGGGACCACGAAGGGACAGGTGACCAAGGGTGACAGGAGGACAGGGGAGCCGATGCCGTGCCGCGTACCGGGACGGGGCGCGGGTGCGGAGGAGCGGCGACCACCCCGAGGGGAGCTGAGTGCTTACCAGTTCGCGGCATTGCCCGCCTGCGGAGGAGCCCGAGAGGGTTGCTGTAATCCATTTTACACCGTCGTAGCAATCCGTGTGCCGGAGGAGATAGCGGCAGCAGGGGCATCAAGCGGTGGGAGAGGAGCGAGGGGCTGGATGCTACGCGGCTGCGGGCGCGGGTTTCCGCGCATCCCTCCGTGGGCGCGGGAGAAGAGGCTGCGCGGGGCCGGGGAAGTGTCAGTGCGGAGGCGGCGGGACCGGCCGCAGGTTTGGGGGCGCGGGACACAAACATGAGGGCGACTGCCATACACCTCAGCCTAGACAAAGGTTAGAAAAAGAGGGGCTGAGGCTCTCTGAAGGCAGAATGCAGGGGGAAATTCGCCAGGGAAATCAGGAAAAGGCCATGAAAGCGCTCGCTGCCTGCACATGACCAGCCGCAGCCAATGACGAGCCCAAATAGGTCATAAAAAGGTCTATTACCAAGTTGTAAATTTTCTTCAAACAAAAAGGAATTTACTGCAATTCCTTGCGGATTTTGCACATACTGCTTCCCAGCGCCATGTTTTTTTCGCGCTGCGCTTCTACTGAGTCTTCGGTCCCGCCTGCCCTGGGCCCGCTCGCCCCGGGAGCGGTGGTGGAGCTCTGCAAGCACGGTCGGGACGCCGGAGACACGCGGGAGCAGCGGAGAGCGGGGCAAGAGGTGGCAGAGCCGCATAAAGAGGGGCAGAGCGCTGTGCCGAAGGAGCCGTTTCTTGCCCCAACGAAAGGAGTCTTAACGCGCATCCCCACTCCCCCCACTCCCCCCTCAATACCTCTCCCTCCCCCCACCCGCTCCGCCGGGCACTAAAAGAAACCACATCTGTTTTAGCGCCCACTACTGAAGCGGAAGCCGTCGCCGACATAAAAATAGTCCCAGCTTCTTCCCCACCCTGCAGTGTGCGGTTCCCGGCAGGTTGCGCCAGGCTCTGTCACCGCGCCCAGGGTGCCTCCACCCCCGATAAAACCTTTCCGGGGCACCATCAGGGAAAATCTGATTCCTAGAAAGCATTCTAAAAAATTACAAATGGGCTTCTGTCCACAGGGATTGCTCGGCTCGGAGACGGAATACTGTGGATGTTTCTTGCTCAAGTTTTGTTTCAAGGAATAGCCAGAGCCCTCCATCCGTGACCTCCCTGCTGATTGTAACTGCTAACAAAAGTAAACACGCCTAAAGATGTAGGATCAATGTTGGATCTTTTAAACACGCTGCTTCAGGCAGTTGCACACCTGTGAATATCACATCCATTCTGAGTGTCCCTCGGCGGAAGCACTGACAGCTTTCGTGATGTCTCTGCAGCACTCGCGTCTGCGCTGAGCTGCTCCACTAGGAAATGGAGAAAATCCGCGGAAACCGAAGTGGCGGTATATCCGCTCGATGGCCGTTTCGGACGACCTCTCGCCACCGCTCCCGCCGCGACCCACACAGCTACGGCTTTTTCTTGCCAAAATCCCGATGTTTGCTCCGGAGCTCGATGGCTCCGATTTTATGGGAACCTTAGTCCGTTTCTGGTGCAGTTTTCTATTTTCTCAGCAAGTCCCCTAGTAAGACCGAGGGAGAGATTCATATGTCAGGCTACGGGGGGAAATACCTTAACTACAGCGATGTTTTGTTTTTCCTGGTGAGTAAGACAGGGACGATTCCAGCTACCACTAGGCCTTGACCAATTATGTGCGCATAGGGAAGTCAGTTTTCGCCTGCGTGGCTGCGTTCCCAGTCGGCCCTGGGAGAGCGACGCTAACGGAAACTTCTTAAGGAGTATTTTAATTTTATTCTCTTTGTCTGGTAATTAAAAACAACTACCTCAGTAGCTCTCTCCCGGACAAATACTAGCCTAAGAAGTGCTCCCCTGGGGTATGAAGGACGTGCCTTCTCCTCTAGGGCAGCCCATGTTTGCAGCGGTCGGCACTATCACGGCTTTCCCCACGGCAGGGCCCGTCGGTACCATGCTGCGCCCAGCCTCTGCCGCAAATGCAGCAGAGTGAAGAGACTTTGCCCTGCCCGGAGACCAAACGTACCCGTGCTGCCGGCACGAGTATTATTTTGAAAAGCGATGGGGTTTTGTGCGTCTGGCGACTGGTATTCTTTAAAGGTACAGCCAACAGACCAATCCTCCCTGGACACTAGGGGTATCGGTGTATTTATGCAAATCCATGCAGCAAAATGTTTACTTCACTGCTTTGTTGCAGTTTCCCCTGCTTTACAACCTTTAGCCAACTAGGCGATTAAAATAAAACCGAGAACAATAGCTTCTCTTGCTCGTGCCTCCCTCTAGAGCTGGCGCTTAGCAGGAGTGGAAACGTGCCTGCCTCGTTGGCGGGGAGGGGGGAAGAGGAAGGGAAACGAAATGAACCAAACCCGCCCTACAAATCCCGGGAGCAAAGCGGTGGGTGCAGGAGAAAGGCCCAGGGCCGGGTGGAGTCGGCGGCGGCCGGCACCTCCTCGGAACCCTGGCTATGATCTTCTGAGCGAAGCCTCGGCTCGGCCCCGGCCTTGTCGGGAGCATGCTCGTTTCTGTGCAGATAATAAAAATATGTCGTGTTTGTCGCTGTGTCTGTCGCTTCCATTCGATTTCTACCTCTGCCTGCTGCTCCTAAAAAGGGCTGCTCTCGGCCGTCCTGTTTGATACCGCGCTCTGCGAGAGCCTGCCGCGAAGCAGGAGCAAAAGGAGGGAGGACAGAGGGGGAGAGAAATTAAACCATTTTACTCATCGGAGAGGACCTCTCCACCCATGGCTGAGGGAACTGTTCAGCAGGCTCTGTCCTCGGCTTCTTCCTCCGCTGGGAAACGCGCCCGAGCTGTATGATTTAGGGGGGAAAGGTCCTTCTCTCTGTCTACACAAGGTTTAGGACACCTAGCAATTAAAGCCCCCTAGGAACCCCCACGAAAGGCCTTAAAAGCTTTGCATTTCTCTGCTCGTCCGCCATCTACGGGGGACGCTAGGCCCGTTTTGTCCGTGGTTTGCGTGGCGGGGCTGGAAGCCCCCACCGGTGGGGAGCAGAGCTGTGGCCGGCATGGGGCCAGCGTGCTCGCCGGGCCCGTCTCCCTCCAACCGGGCCGGCAGCAAACGCCTTCGCGGGGAAAATGTCTGTGTTTGTCGGCAAACGTCCCCTGCCCCGCCGCTCCGCAGCCCGCGGTGGGGAGCAGGAAAAGGCAAAGCAGGGTCCCGGCGCACACGTAGGGGACTCCTGGGCCGACCCGCAGCGTGGACTCAGCTCGCAGGTGGGTCTGCAATCCTCGCTGGACGCTGCTTCGACCACGACCCCGCAGTACCCGAGCGAAAAGCAGGGTTTGTGTGCAATGTGCCATTCCAGACCCCACAGAAACACCCAGAATCCCAGGACCGGACGGGGGAAAGGTGCAGGGGAGAGTTAGTCCAGACCCGTGGAGACTCTAAAGGTTACTTTAGGAGTGGATTACAAAGAGGATATCAGGATTCCGATACATTTTATAATTGAATAAATTTGGTTTATTTTAATCAAATATCACAGCAGAAGGTTAAATATATTTCTAAGATATTTTCTTCAATTTTATTAAATTTATATAATTTATTCAACAAAAGAACAAGAATTAAAATAGTACAAGTGCACTTGTCTTGATTAATAAGGCATTCTTAAATGTCTTGCTTATTGGTATTTATTATTAGGAAGTTTATGTCGTTTCCCGCAATCACCATCTTTCAAGATTGCAAATATATATATATTTATATATAATTAGAAATTTATTGCTACAAACTCTATATCAAATTTGCAAAAATAAGTAGATGAAGTATTAAATCTAGAAGTTGTTCTGGATACGCTTATAAACAAAATAAACACCCAAACAAGTGAAGCATCCAAAGAAGGGAAATGTCAAGTGGAGGGACATGAGGTCACTCGTCCTATGGCAAGATCACGTACAGGGATAGTAGAGCCGAGATGTCAGGCTGTGGTCCTGGTTATTTTTGATTACCTTTCACAAAGACTTTAAAGGGCAAAAATTAATTTGTCTGGCCTTCAGCTCTGTCTTCTTCCAGATCATGTGCTTCCTTTTTGGCCTCCCCTTCCTTTCCCTCCTGTCTGGAAGCGGGGAATTTGTCCTTGTTGTTCTCTTTTTTCCATTTCATCCTCCTGTTCTGAAACCAGATCTTTACCTGCCTCTCGGTGAGTCCTAGTGCATGGGACACCTCGATCCTCCTCTTCCTGGTCAGATAGGGGTTAAATAGGAACTCCTTTTCCAGCTCTAGAGTCTGGAATCGGCTGTACGTTTGCCTTCCTCTCCTCCTACCCGGCGCTGCTGTTTAAAACAAAAACATAGGGGTTTGGACGTTGGTGTGGCCGTTGAAAACAAGGCGTAGGTAGGGAGCGAGGGCTCCAGTCCCTCTGGAATTCCTCGAGAGAAGCCCCACAGAACCGAAGGGAGAGAAAACAGGGCACGAAGGAGTCTAGAGCTTTACATAAGTGAGAGAAAAACATCTATAGCAAATGCACGAACTGCCTCAGCTGTCCCTCTGCACAGGGGGTTGCGGGTTCACTTTATGGTCTTTTATTCCGTCTCCCCCACACCGCTTCCAGACCCTACACCCTTCCCGTTCACCCTTCTCCGACGGGAGACGAGCGAGCGTGTCAACTGCGCCTCGGGGTTCGAGAGGTGCAGTCTTAAAGGCTACTCTTGAGTTGGTAGCTGCCTTCTGCAGAGGTTGCTGTTTGCTTACTGTATCGCTTTACTATCGCAAGCCACCGCAGTAAGAGGAATCGCGGGGAGAGAGGTAAGGAGTGAGGGAGACAGGCAGGGAGCGAGAGTCAGCGAGAAAGAAGCGGGAGGAGGAAAAGAAAGTTTCAAACTCAGACGTGAGATGGAAGCAAATTTTTGACTGCGTCCAACCTTGTGGTCTCATCCAGGGAAACATTTGAGCAGGAGACGAGCTCTGATTTAAGTGGTCTGGTTCCTCGCCAATATTAGCACTGGACGATTTACAGTCAGGATATTGTACCAGCTCGGCCTCTTGCTGTGTCGTAAAAATCTGCTGTCTCTGTAAGTTATCGTATCCGTAAAATTTAGCGGGCTCTCCGTGACAGGTAACCCCGCTGCAGGGGGCAGGAGGCGGAGGCGCGGCTGGGGGAGGAGGAGGCGGCTGGTAGGCGGCCGTGGGGCTCCCCCCGGCCGGGTGGTAAAAGTCCGCGGCCGCGCCGCCGCCGCCCCCCGCCCCGCCGGGCGCGGGGTGCGGGAAGCCGGAGGCGGCCGCGCCGTTCCCGTAGAGCAGAGCGGCGGCAGCGGCGGCTGCGGCAGCAGCGGCGTGTCGGCCGCTCACCTCGGGTGCGAAGTGACAGTCGTAGTACGGGGAATTGATGGGCTCCCCCGCCGCCGCCGCCGCCGCCTTGTACTTGGAGTACAGCGGGTTGACAAAGTAGGAGCTCATCGGGGAGGGGGCAGCGACGAGCGGGGGCGCGGGCACGGGGCGCCCCTCACGCCACCGCCGCCGCCGCCGGTGCCTCTACGCCGCGCTCATGCCGCCGCCGCCGTCGCTGGCCCGTGCGCTCCCCTCTCCTGCTCTCCGTGTATGTGGTGACCAGGACTGGATTATAATCGCTCCCAAAATGACCTGCCTCACTGCTTTTACTATTTCCTATTAGGCACACAGCAGCCCGCGCAAGCACACACACACACACACACACACACACACATACGCACACGCTCGTGAGCTCAGGGGGGACTTTTGGCTTCAGTTTACATGTGCCGCTCCTCGGGCAAGAAAAAAGCCCGGCCCAGCCCTGCCCGGATCCACCCCGGCCGCGGCACCACCGCTCCCCCCGCCGGTGCGCGTTCGCCAGGAGCTGCTGAAACCCCCACCGCGCAGGGGAGAGGCGGCCGCGCAGATCCCGCGCGATAACCGCGGGCGCGCTGCCGGGGGCGACACCCGGAGCGCGGCCTGCCTCACCGGCCAGCAAGGGCAGAGCCCCTCCGAGGGAGCTGATGGCAGGCGAAGGGCCTTGGGGGGTTCGGTACAGGCATCTGGGGGGCCGAGGGGCGGCAGCGGGCGAGTCCCGTTGCCAGAGGGCCCTCTGGATCATATCCTTGCAGCTGAGCAGATCCTGGGGAATGAGATGCACATTTACCCTTGACTCTGTGCACGCATGGCTGAGGCTTCAGGTTAATTGATACTTAATGGAAATCATGCCTATGAATATACTTTCCATCATTTCACCCTTGGTGGACGTCATTACCGAGGGGAAAAAAAGAAAAGTGTGGGTGAGCAGTTAGTACCGCTCGGGGACTCGGTCCGAAATAAGCGAGCCCTGTTCTCCAGTAGGAAGGAAGGAAGAAAAGCTCTGCCCGGCAGGCTCGGCGCTGCCCCTGCTCCTCAGGCCGACCACCCCCGCTGTCCCCCGAGCCCCAAGAGGTGTCGTCTCCAGTCCTCTCTTTCCCGATTCGTCCTGCAGTGGGAACCAGCTTTTCGGACAGACATCCTCATGAGCTCGAGTCCACCCTATTTTGGAGAGAGACGAAAAATGTAGGTGAAATATAATGCAGGCCCAGCCAGAGCCATGTGTGACCGTCTGATGTGAATTGACAAAAAAATATTTGTGGTTACATAAAAGGCATCGCAGGCTCCTTCCCCATCTCACCCTCTCTCCCACCACCACTCCCGCCCCCATGACGAATAACCCACTTTGTCCAGCTGACCAGCCCGGCTGCCCCGCGTGTGAAAGCCCGGATGGGCCTGTGCCCGCAGCGACTCCCTCCCCTGGGCAGGGGCCCCGTGGCCCAGGGCGCAAGCCTTTGGGAACTTACGAAGACTTAGGGACTCCCGTGCAGCCCTGAGAAAGGCGGGGGAGGTGGGAGAGGCCCAGGGATCCACACACACGGATTTTTGGTGCTACACGGACTGCCAGCAGTAAAAGCCCTTTGCCAGACACCAACGGGGGAAGGCAGGAGGCCGGGCCAGGAGAGGGGGAGCGGCAGCAGATTGACAATGCCTCGTCCTGCAGAGGGGCACGGAGGGGTAGTGGCTGCTTCCCGCATCCGCACCAGAGACTCCCGCCCCTCCTGCTCATCCCGCTGGGGCGTTAGTTACGCGGGAAGCACTGTGCCGGCGAGGAGCGGCGGCTCCGCGGGCCGGGGGCGCTGCGCGGACCCTGCGCGGGGCGCGGCGGCGGCGCTCGGGTGGAGCGCGGGCGCCCTCTGGCGGCATGCGGCTGTAGCGGCAGCAGCGCCCCCGCCCCGCGCTGCCCGCGCTGCCCGCGCTGCCCGCGGCCCCGCTCCGTCCGGTGCCGCGCCAAAAGTGGGGCAGGTGATGAGAGACTCTTCCTTTGCTTTCTGGTTTGGGTTGGGTTTCTGCCTTTTTTTTTTTTTTTTTTTTTTTTTTTTTTTTGTGGCTATGAGTTTACAGTGCCATTTTCTTAGCACATTTCGGTGACCCGCTTTTATTTTTTTCTTTCTTTTTTTTTTCTTTCTTTTTTTCTTTGTCAGAGTTATAATCAACTGCATACAAAGAATGCGCCTCGTTTACACATGGCAGCCAGGAAAAGACGCCTGAGCTTTGAAGATGCCTGCTATCGCGTTTTCGATCATGTTTCCCCACATATTACACCACGAATTCTCCATGTGTGGTAGTTTCAGTGTTATACGTTTTTGTCTTGAAGATGTTATTTTGTTTTCCCTTGCTTTTATGTATTTATGGATTGATTTATGTAAACGAAAGTAAAGATGAATCTTTGTTCACCCCCTCCTTCACCACACATGCCTGTGAATTATTCGGTATAATGCGTGTGCAGGAGATTGTGCATATGTGCAAACATATATTAACACAACCAACGGGTAGGAATTAAATTATTCAGTTTGACAGTGAAAGTAATTTCCATAGAAGAACTGCATTCCGTCATTCAAGAGAGACTTTTGGTTTTCTTTCTGCTATTTTGAAATAAATGCACGCCATATTAAAAACAGGTAAACAAAAGGGAAAAATACACAAGGTAAAATCTGCCAATCTGCCTGATATAAAATATTGAAAAGATAGTATGGGTTTGGTGGCAATTTATTAACAGAGACTCTGCTGGAATCAACATAATGGAGCGTTGTGTACAAGAATATTGTTTACGTGTTGTTGTAGATCACCCCCCTCTATGGGTATTTTCGAAAATATAGAGGCTGGCATTGTAGGATTCATTGCAGTAGAATATCCAATAAAATACATTTCAACAAATAAGTGGACTTTGTAAAATCTCTCAGTTCCATGACCTTCGGGTCTTTTTTGAGTCTGTTGCCTTGGCCCAACGCTGACATATTGAAATTTATAGTCCAAGGTTTTAAAACCTAGTTTGTCTGCATTTTTTGCCTTTTTTCCCCCCCTAACAAACACAAACATCAAAATAAGGTGGTTTCAAAGAAAAGTGCCATAGCATATCGTAAACTCATTAGGTCCAGACGTCTAGCCATCTCAATGGTTTTATTATACCACGGTTCTTCCTGTTTTAAAAGAATTATAGGTATCTTCTCGACAATGGATGGGAAGCAATGCAACACCTTTTCCTGGCAGTGCTTGCCTTTTTTTCCTCCCTTCTTTTTCTTACAGAGGTAAAAAACATTAAACACCAGGTCTCTCAGCTGTCCCCTTAATCTTGAATTAACCGAACTGCTCGTAAATATTTACGGGTCCTTCATTTTAATGGTTGCTCTTTAAACAAAGCATTTTTTTTACAATGAACTTCATCTCAATTATCTTGATAAAGTCATGTGTGTTTATAAATGCAGAAGGCATGAGGCGCGTTGCTAAATGAGCTCTAGCCAACAAAGCCGAACGTTTGGCAGCAGCCGTGTCCCCCCGGAGCTTCCAAGCTTCCCGGTTTAAGAGCACTGAGGCTGGAAGCGACCCACCGGGAGGGGACAAAATAAAATAAAAGAAATACAAAAGTAATGTTTAAGCGAATAGGCATCATTTTGTTTTCTTGGCTCCTGAGGACCGATGTGGAAGTATCTCTTACATGATCCCAAGGGATCGCCAATCTCTGAAAGAGCGCTGGTACCTGAGGCCTGGGAGCGGTACGGCGGCAGACGCACCTACCCGGCCTCTCGGCACTGATCTCTAACAGCATATGTCGATTAGGCGACGAGAAGGAAAAGTGACTTTCCTCTGGCCTTAGTGGCTCCCGGAGGCCGGGTTTTCCCGTGGCCCCGGCCCGGTCGCGCCCGGCCCACGGGGGCTGCGCGGGGGCTGCGCGGTCGGCGGCGCAGAGGGCATCGCGAGGGGCGCACAGATTTCTCCTCTCACCGCAGCGCTGTCGTTCGGTCACGGCAGACTTTATTGTGTAATAACTGACAACAATTACAACAGGTCCGTAGTTCGAGACACGGAGTGGTTAATTAATACAACAGTCACCGGGGGCAGGGGTGGCAGCTAGCCGGGGGACTGGGAGGCATGAGGCCTGTGGTGAGCGGCTCCAAGGGTGAGACAACTTCCTAATAGTGCACTAAAGGGGTGTGGAGGGGGATAACTCGTGGCCTCGCTGTGGCATCTATTGCGAAGCATTCAGACCTAGAAAGCAGAGGTTTGGGGAAAGATTTCATCTTAGTAAATCGTGGACAGCACAGCAACCCCCACTGATTTAAGCGGCTGTAATTTGATATATGTTTTATTATCGTAATTATAATTAATTTCCTTACCTTTATTTTGGCAAAATAACTATCTAGTCTACATCACTTTTAAGAAACATGTCAAACATTTAACATCAGATAGAGTTCCCAAAGCTAACGTGCACTCACAATATCATCATCTAAACGGTGTGGGAAGGAAGAGGGGGGGCTTAAGCAACTCTGCAAAACACGTTGGCGAACAAGACAAAATTTCGCAAAATACCTGACATTGACCACGTTTCACTTCTATCCAAAAAAAAAAAAAAAAAAAAAAAGACCAGATTGATTTAAAGTCCCTGGAGTGGAGTGGCGAGGGAGGAGGAGAAACGTATGGGGGGCTGAGGGTGCAGGGGAAGAATAAAACCAATCAAAAAAAAAAAAATCCAAAACCGAAACAACCCCCAGCAACCAAAAACCCACCCTCACCCCAAAAAAGCCCCAAACTCAAAACTAAATCAATAATTCCCAACTGCATTTCTATCCCAGCATTAGTCTCCTTTATTGCCTTTCTCCTTGTTCATCTTTTTCATTTTCATTCTTCTGTTCTGAAACCAGATTTTGACCTGTCTCTCTGTGAGGTTTAAAATCCTAGCTACTTCGTAACGGCGGTCTCGGGTGAGGTACATGTTAAAGAGAAATTCCTTTTCCAGTTCCAGGGTTTGATACTTTGTGTAGGGACAACGCTTTTTCCTGGTTGAACGAGCGTGGATCCAGTTTGCTGCAGGATTATCTGGAAGAAGGGAGGTATATAGAGAATGGGGGGCGGGGGGAGAGAAAGGTCGTTAAATT